GGCTTCACCGTGGTCAACGGCCGTCGGCATCGCAGAAATTGAGGAGCATTGCGCCCGGTCTCGCTTACTAGTGGGGGTAACCGGACCAGAAGCAGATGATGAGAAGCATGGGGGTGTCACGTAGGCAGTATCGATGATTGCCTCGGTTTGAGCAGAAGAGAAACTCGAGTTGAGTACAGGCAGTCCATCAAGCGGTGCATTGCCAGTATCTACCTTCTTTGCTGGAGTTCGACAGGCCAGGATATACTTGTCGTTGGGGGGCAGCAGAGGATCCTTTCTCTTTTGCACAGAATGCAGACATGAAGGACTTGGACTGATTGGAGGTAGGCCATTCGAAACGCCACTGACACTCAGTCCAGCGTCACAAATAAAGCGATCACGAATAAAGACGACGACTTAGGAAGTGGTCCTCTGCAGTGGATCGTGCAGATCTGGACCGATGTTACAACATGCAATGTGCAGCCACCCTTCGCAGAAGGAACATTGAACAGCCTTCGACCGAGAAGTGACAGCTTTACAACAATCCAAGCATTTGGTGATGAAACGTTTGCAATCAAATCCCCAGCTCGATGAGCACGGCAAAAGCTGAACAACCTACCAGAGCTACAAATATCCCAAGTAATTCAGAGGGAACGAGTTGTTAGCAAAGAAACATTAGTGTGAAAGTATTTAAATGGCGGAGGCTGGAGGAGCGGCGGATTTCATGTGAATTAGACTATGGTTTTTCAAGGGGCATGGCATCACCCGTCTCCCTAACTCAAAGCATGGGATGACTTTGGGGACAACTCCTAGTCTACTAGCCTACTCACAAGGCGGCTTGGTGAGGTCAGCGAACTTTGCTTGCTTCAGGTCGGTGATCGATGGTTTTGTTCAAACATTTTGTTTGGCGGGTTGACGAACGGGGCCCAATCATCCCGAGATTTCAGCATGTATCTGTTATGATTCGTCGGAGGAAGAAAGAGTAGCAGCTTTAGCTGGCGCCGAGTAACACACAACACTTCTGATAACTGTGAACGGGCACTGTAGCTCATTGTAAGTCGGAGGCGTATCAAGCGAACACATGTCCAGAAGCGCTGTCGCCAAACCACCTGTCACCACGACGCGGTGATCTTCACAAGCAAGCTAAGTTCATTAAACTGGGTATCGAAATCAATGAACTACGGTGAACGGGGCTAAGACGCAAGCGAACAAACTTACAATGACGAAACGATCCCAATGCAGTTCGACGGCTTGCGCACCTCCATATACCACTGAGTGGCGCTTCCCAACTGTCACCAGACGGGTAATTGGTTAGAGATCAGATGAAGTCGACTTTGAGAGAAACTGATCATATGGAGTTGCTTCCGTTGCGATCAGCCGTCGTGTGTCTTAATTTTGTTATGGACAGCCACGTTTGTAGACCTAAAACTTGGCTGATCCAGTGTGCCTTTCACTTGGTGTGAAGCGGTTACTTTAACAATGTACAAGAAACAATGTTTTTCCAATCGCTTATTCTACTAACCACGATGATTAATAACAGTCACATCGCAACACAAATACCACCAACCGCAGTGTTGTGCGGCCATTGTTTGACGGTGATGCGAAATTGTATGTCGGTGAACCAATTCCGACTCCGGAAGAGTCTTTTGGAGGAGACAACTTCGCCACGCTGTTCAAACAGGCAGGATCTGGTAGTACCAATCAATTCGACCATGCCCAGTGCCTCGCAGCCGCGGCAAGCCCATCATTCATTGTTGTTCTCCTGATGTTCCTTCCACAAAACTATGCGAGGAGCCTCCATTATTTGCTCCGGGTTGTAAATTTGTCTTTGCAATGGTACACACAGTGTTCATAATCGTCCACTATCACTACTGCTATCAAAATAACGATTGCTCTGCTATGATATGCCGCCCTCAGGAAGCCAAAACAGTGCGTATTCACTGGTGGAAATACTGACTATGACCAACATTTAAGCCCCGGTCACGCTGCCAAGAGGTTCGAGAACATACGCGTTATATCAAACCGAGGCGGGGCCTTCAAATTCGGCCGTTGCTGTTCTCGTTGGATTATTTTATACCACAGACTGCGGATTCTATATTTTATTTTTTAACTTTGAAGCAATTTACTTTTTATGATCAGGTCTCAAAATCAATGTTGTCTTACTCCGTCAACCATTTGAAAACGTTACGTGCTACTGCCTTAAATCCGTGCCTTATTGTATACGGCCATAAAGTCAGGAACACTTGCAAACGTATTACGAATAAATGTTTTGAAAAAAAGCGCAAGCATCATGCTGGTTGGCAATCTGGCCTCAGTCGTTGTTCTGTCGACAAAGCGCAAGTCCCACTGATACTTTCCAGTAATGTTGGCTCGCTTCTTGTTAAAATCAGTGAACTCAGTGCCATGATGCAGCAAAACGAGTATGTTAATACGGGAATCATTTTGTTACAAGAAAGCTGGTTGCATGCTGATGTGGAAAATGGGTAATTCAACTCGATGGTTATTTCCCCATCAGGTCTGACCGCCCCGGAAAGCCCGTTTCGTGGTGGTGGCGTTATAACACGTTAATCGACGTTGGTGCAACGCAGCAATCATAGTATTTACGTACTCAACGATTTCTATAAGCTGCTATTTAGTTGAATGTAAACCGACCTTAAGTGGCTTTCTATCAGTCATCGCTGGGAACGTATACATTGCTCCTGACACAACTGCATCGGAGCTAAGGCTTTTGGAGGACCATCTTTCTTCAACGCTACCGCTTAAATTAGATTGTTCTATCTGTATTGTTGCTGGCGACTTTAATAGAAATCATACAACTTTTTTGAAGACACCTGGCTTGGTAGACCTAGTGACTGTTTCGACCAGACAAGATGCCCAGTTGGATGCTGTGTTCATAAATAAACGACAGTTGTTTGCCATACAAAAGCGGGCTCCTTTGAGCAGCTCAGACAATTGTATTTTAAAACTGTCCAGTCATATACAGCAGTTCTAATTTTTAACGCTGACCAGACGTTCTTACAAGAGTATCAAACAGCAAAATTGCTCCTTGAAAAATATCACGAGGCTCCAGACGATGTATTCTTTAACTGATTTTTCGGACTTCAACGATGAGGACCTGTCGCTCGAATGTGCCCATCTTACGGACTATATCAAATATTGCTTTGACATACGTTGCCCTGTTGAAAGGATCTATCTAAGAGCAGATAGATTTTCATCATCACTACTAAAGCGACTCCGAAGGATGAAAGAATGGGCCTACAAGTGCAAGAATGCTACCAGTGTCAAAAGCCTAACCACGGCAATTACAGCCGAGATAAAAAGACTAATGCAATTATACCTCGAAACAGTTCTAGACAACCATAACTCCGAGATCTATGGGGGGCTTCTGAGGCAGCTCTGTGGTAAGAGCGTTTGCAACCAGAGAGGTGAAATGGCTGTGGATATACTGAATTCGGAGTTTAGTTCCGCCTCACTAAGCTCATCTTCTTTGTCTTCCTTCATTAGCTGAAGTCCAGCCGGGCCATTCGATCAAAGCAACGTCCATAAAAACGCAGAAGATTAAAGGGAACCAAAGCTTGTGGTCCCGATGCTTTCTCACCATTAGCTTTGGAGGAGTATGCTGATTCCCTCACACTGCCTCTAACAGACCTCTTTAACAAATGCCTCACTGCGGGTGTGATCCCGGACATTTGGAGACCGGCCAGTATCACTCCAGTACCAAAAACTGGATCTCAAAACTATCGCCCAATTGCTTGTACATCTGTGCTCCTAAACGTTTTGGAAAGACTGTTAATTCCGCGGATATTTTCAGCCGCTCCTGAAGAGGATATCTATCAGTTTGCTTATAGACCCCAGCGCATGTTATTCATTCTATAGCCTTTGTATTAGATCAAAAATGTAAATCAGTACGGCCTCTCTCTGGGTTATTCGAATGCCTTTGGAAGCCTAGATAGGTCAAGGTTGCTAAGGCTGTTATCCGAAAATGGAGTTCACCCTGGGGCTTGTAATCTGTTACGTGACTATTTTACAGATCGTACTCACTTCACCAAGTTGAACGGTAAGAAACTCTCTATCCTCCGTACCGACAGGGAGCGATCCTATCACCTTTACTATTTTCCTTGTATGTCGAACATCTCCCTATACAAACCACGTTTATAGCGCATAATTATGCTGATGTATGTCCCCCACTAACCAGGATTCCTCATCACTGCAACGTGGGCTGGATGATCTGGTGGAATCGTTCTCATCCAGATCTCTTACGCTTAATGCTTCTAAATGCCGGGTCGTAATATTTTCTTTTCTACGTGGCGATAAGTTGCAGTCCCTCATAGCTTTCTCCCCCACACGTACTGTGAATGGAACTCCCATACCCAGCTCTTCCACCGTCAAGTATCTCGGTGTTTATTTGTCCCAGAACCATTCTTAATCCACGCACGTTTGTAAGACTTTTCAAAAAATCAGAAAACTTTCTTTTTATGCACTCAGACTTAAGGTGCTTTCAGTATCTCGTACTTTAATATTCAGGTTTGTGACCTCTGATATTATTCCACATTGGCTATACTGTTCTCCTGTCATTTACCCTGGACCGCTTCAGGAAGACTACATCATATTGGTGCAATCTATAAAGCACATTTCTGGATGCAGCAGCTTGTCTAGAGATATTTTAGTTGATTTATCATTTTTAGACATCTTGATGCTAGAAATGATTTTTCTTTTAAGACACTAACTGATCGATTTTATTTACTTCACAATGACCTTTCCAAAACGCCCTCTTTCTCTTCTACTCGTTAGAAATTCAGAATATTATTCTCCTGCAGTCATCAAAAGGTAATACTGTTTTGCCTTATCTCTCACGTTTGCTTGTTGACACAGCAAAAGTCACTAACATGCTGCGCGAGCGCTGGATGGAGTGACAGTTCTGCTTATTTCCCCGTTTTTCTCCCCCAAGCATGTATATTGATTCTGTTATCCAAGTGTCCGCAGTAGTGGTGTAAATGCTGAAAATGAACCCATTAGGGTTCATAAAGCTTATTTTGACTTGAACTGAACCAACATGAAGGTCTGTCAGCAAGTAAGCTACCGTATCCACAAAAGCGTTTCCAATATTCAATGTACAAAATGCTTGGAATCAAGTTGTATAAAAATAACATGTAGGATACAAACAATTGTCAAAACTAAGGACGCATAGATTCCAGCCGGGATTTGGTCGCCGAAAATGCGGCAACGAGTGCTCCAAGCTGGAGATGTTCCGATGCTCCGATTGACATGCGATGTTCAATTTCGGCCAAGGAGATGAGGAGGTCGCACCGCAGCTGGTCGGGCATGTCAACTGAAACGTTAGAAATACATAAGGTATAGTGGTTTTTAACAACGGTAACAGTGACTAGCAGCTCGCATAATATACGAATTTATTCACTTGGACACAGCTGCATTTTTCAAAATTTTTGTGTTCAGTGTGAAACAAACCAATGTCATGTAAAGTTCTAATATCGAACAATAAGTTAATGGCTTTACAAGCTTACGACTAAAAGTCAGCCAAAAAAACGATACAAATAGGCTGAAAATACACATTTAATTACAAGTCATCCTAGGCACCTGGATTCATACACCACCTACATCTGATGCTGCAATTTGTAATAACAGCTTACGCCAATCCGTGAGCGGATGGGGGCGTCAAGCGACGCAAATGAAATTTTCGTGAGTTTTGATCAGGCATTGTTGATCCACAAATGGTCATGTGTAACATTTTCAAAGTAAACAACAATATGAGAATGGAATAGATTAATATGGTCTTTGTAAACATCTGGTTTAGGGCTAGCTATCCTCCAATTCCTAGTATCTAGTCAAAAGATACTGCAAAAGTGTGGCGAATCCAATCGCTCAACTTAGTGCAATGGCGATAACAAGTAAGGTGGGAAATGACGGAGCGAACTAAAAGAGTAATCAGAGGGTGCAAAATAATTAACAGTGATAAATAGGTGGGCTAAGGGATTTAAAATGATGTAAGTTGAATTCATCACAGTCCAACAGCATTCTTTTATATCCGGCTCACCGGTCGAGATGCAGTGAAATGTATTAGAAACTGTGGCTTCAATATCGCTGGTCCTGCGAAATTATGGATTACTCTAACCTTATAAATCTATCAGATGATGTATAACAAAAATTAGATAGGCACTCTCAGTTATATCGGTTTATGTAGGCCTACGGTGAAGCAAGGTTTCCATGAAAGGCTACATCGCGCAGGTGGATCCGTGAGGAATAATGTAGAAAGATGGATGAATATTAAGTGAACAAGTAAACTACATGGCCCTTAACAAGCGCTCATCAAAACGCATACGTTTGCCAACCCACGGTTGTCCAGCACTACAAATATCAGTGATTGGAAGACCATAAACTTAACAAACAACGCTTAAGTGTGAGGTTCATTGAATCGCATCCGCTAACAGTACCGTAAAACGGGGGAAGTTTAGTCCACCTTTTTAGCCTAGAATGTACCACACATATATCAGTGCTTTTGATAACATTATTAAGTGATCTGTATATAAGCTATGGTGTTATAATGCCGCAGAAAATATCGATTGATGCAGTTTTATGCCCCTAAGTCAGTTATTTTTAAATAACTACTATGGCCAAAATTAGTCCTTAAGGGCGGTACCTCGATCATGAAGATAAAACACACAGAGCCAAAAGTATACAACACAATAGTAAGACTGACCACTGTTTCTACATATAAAAGGCACAAAACACATATTACATTATTAATTACTTAGGCTGGCTTGACGAACAACCTTCTCGTGGTGCCAGCTGGGTGGTTCGGGTTTTTCCCGTTCCAGCAAATGGTTCGGCGGCAGTATTCCCGGACGTGATGGGTTTTCGCCTGGCAAGCGTTCTCCCTATAAAAAGCCACAAATGTCTGCGTAACAACACTGCGACGTGGCGGATGTGACTCGCCACTAAAGAAAGTCACTGCCTCTTGTCCCTCCCTGAGAGGCATTGTACTTCAAGGGTGCGTTGGGCCCATGGTCCTTCACGGACGGAAATGCATATGAACCATCTAGTTGGTCACCGGCTCCCAACGGGTTGCGACGTCCTCATATCGCCCTGCCGCCTTGTAGGTTACATCTTTGACCAAAGGCTCGGGGTAAGGCCCCCTTAGACAACACTATTTCGGCCTGGGCAACCGGGTATTACCACGCCCAATGACGAATCATGGACCACACTGCTTACAACTGCTCCTGTTATGCGCGCCCTCACAAAAGCAAGAGTGTTCCCAGCTTAACCACATAGCAATCAGCTACAGATGGCGCGGAAGCGTAACGGACTGCCGATCGTACTGGTCAACTTATCTAGACTTCGATCACGCATTGGTTCGTGCTAAAATTTGCATGGGTTTCGGAGGATCACCTAAGCGCGCTCACTACCGGCCGGACGTCACAAATCTACAAAACCCTGCGATTTTGACCAGGTACCAAGCCTCACTGCCAACCTTGCTTGCCTCAACTATCGATGGTGACCTCGATTCGCAATGAGCGCAGATCAAAGATGCTTCAGTTTCCGCCAGTATCGACAATTGTGGAGTTGCTCGTCACTCACCGAAACATTGGATTTCCGCCGTCTCCTTGTCGCTGATGGACAAACGTTGCTTGATCCACAGTGAAGAACGCCAATCACTAGGTTGAGAGTTGCGCAGAAGTCTGCAAATGGACCGCGAAGCTTGGTAGTGTGAAAGTGCTAGGGAGATGGAGCTTGCTAGACTCTCTGATAATACCAGAAAACCTTTCCATCTCATTCGAATCACCGAAGGTGTTCGATCTCATATAAGTGAAACAGTATGTGAAGAGGATGGCACCTTAATCACCAACCTACAACGACGGTTGGAGCGATGGGCTGAACATTTTGGCTCGCAGTTTTGTTGGCCCATAGCTCTATCTGCTACCCCTGGCGCTCGCACTGGGGCCGAGGGGTCTACGCCCACAGATCCTCCCTCTTCCCAGAAAATCGAGCAGGAGCTCCGGCACATGAAGCGTTATAAAGCCCCCGGCCCTGATGGTCTTCTTCCAGCTCTATTTAAAGAAGGTGGCGCTTCGCTGGTCCGAGAACTCACCGATTTGTTCCCAAATGTTTGATCGAAAGAAGAAGTTCCATCATCTTGGAGTGAATCGATAGTCGTCCCCATCTTCAAAAAGGGCCTGTACATAAGCTGCTCCAACTACAGAGGCATAAACTTAATCCCCGTTGTTTGCAAGCTGCTGGGGTCCATCATACTTCGCAGGCTATCCCCAACGCGCGATTTGTTGCAGCGAGAAAAACAAGATGGGTTTCGCCCTTGTCGCGACTGCACCGATCACATTTTCACACTCCACCAGATCCTCAAGCTGCGACATGTGTATCAGAGGCCAACGATTGCTGTGTTCCTGGATATCCGTGCAGCCTTCGATTCTGTCGATCGGACGGTACTGTGGTATTGCCTACTGAGGAATGGTGTCCCCGAGAAGTTTGTCTCCATACTGCGCGCTCTATATTGTCTGACCTCGGGCAGAGTTAGAGCTTTTGTGAAGCGTTCGCCTACCTTTGTGGCCTCCAGTGGAATTCGACAAGGATGCCATATCTCTCCGTTCCTACTCAACTTGACCATTGAAGATGTCCTGAAGAATGCTCTGGACGATTCGTTGAACGCTGGCGTTGAGCTCCTCCTAGGTAGTCGAGTTGTTGGGTTGGATTATGCTGATGATATCGTCTTGCTGAGTGACGATCCACACGTCGTCCAACTTGCACTAAACCGCTTGCCGATTGAAGCATCAACGTATCGTATGTACTTTTCGTCAACCAAATGCCAAACCTTTTTTCAACACTGGCAGGTTGCTGTGCCTACACTCACTCTTGGTGATGAGACACTAGAGGTTGTGGAGAGCTTTGTCTACTTAGGAAGTTGCATCACTGCTGGCGGGGCTGTAGAAGACGAGATTCCGATGCGCATCTCAAGAGCACGCCTCGCTTTTTATAGGCTGAGGCACTTGTGGCGTCGCCACGACATTCGTCTCTCCATCAAAGGGCGGGTCTATTGTGCAACTGTTCGTGCTGTACTGTTGTGCGCATGCGAGACCTGGCCCATTCGTAATGATGACTTGCGCAGGCTATCTGTCTTCGAGCACCGCTGTCTGCGGTCCATTGCCCGTGTGTGGTGGCGGCACCACGTAAGCAATGTGGCAGCGTGTCTTGTGAGGTGGATGCCACTCGCTCGAGGTCCTCCCACTGTATCAACTGCGGTGGTTGTGACACGTATTGGGCATGCCTGTCTAGCGTTACCCGCGCCGTGCGTTGTTTGCGGTTGCTGGACAGGGCTGGAGGAGACGGTCTGGTGGACAGCCTACAACATGGAGAAGCCGCATGAATATGTTTACGAAACAGTTGGCCTCGGCCGGTTGTTGTCGACTACCTGGTTGGGGTCCGAGAGATGCGGATAGTTGCTGGTTGAAGACCTTGGAAGCCATGGCTCAAGATTGATTTCAATGGCAGACATGTGCATCGGTGTCCCTGCTTCATTCCCCTAAAAAACTGAAAAAATGGCAAAAACTGTGAGCGGTGAAGCAGACAAAAAAGTTTTTGTCGTTGTTGTTCTTTTTTTATCATTCGTACTGTTTTCCTATTCAGCCATGATTCCAATCACCGAGTCCCCTACAATTTCAGCATCCATGATTCATCAGCACTGCACTGATATCCCGAAAAAGTTATCAGATTTGTAAGTTCTACTTTACCCATGATTTTTCGCTTTACTTGTCTTTACGGTTATCATTTTCCAGTTTACTTGTGCTGACTTCGAATTTCACCGCTATGGACAATGGGGAGATTACCCGCAATTTACACTGCAGCTTGCAGTTTTACCACTCCTTATGAACTGCATCTTATCAGTCACGAATCGACTAGTTGTACTCGGTTGAGCAACCCGATAGAGTGATCTTCATATCATTTTGCGGATTAGTTTCTGCCATTGTCTTAGAAGTGCTACCGAACGGCATACAGCTATGCCAGAACTATTGCACTTGAGCTCAGCGACCTTTAGCGAGCCCGACAATCTTGACATACTTCTGTGATTTAACTGCTTAGTTGCTTGACGTACTTGACCTGGGCTTATTTGTAAACCTGGTGGTCTGGTCACGAAAGGAAGCTACGCGTGTAGGCAATTACTCTCTGTGCCTCATACGTTAGCTGGCGAAATCGGACAACGATGTACGCGGTAAACGGGACGTCGACCTTTTGTTGTAACCTCCACCTGGGGCTTCTTACTCTATGTCTTAATTCACACGGCTGTGAGTGACGGTATAGAGCGGA